GCTGAATATAGGCAAAAACACAGAGTATGCTTGGAAGAGCAAAACACCTAAATAAGAAAAACATTTTAAAACATTTCTTGTATACATGGGGTAAAGTGTTATGAAGAACATATGGAAAGCTTAAGGCTTTAAGTCTTTACTTATTAAATATACAGAGAAGCATAGCAATATATATGAGAGCATTTAAATGCATTAATTATTTAACAAAATGAAGTACCAACAGTTTCTCTAAGCATATGCTTTCATTAGTCATTTTATTAATTGGTGAAATTTACCAGTTACAACAAATTGCAATATTTAGTACTAATTCTTCTCAAAGGCATAATTCACATTACAAACATGATGATGATACATGTCATGAGACAGCTGCAAGCAATGGTGTTCAAGAGCAGCTGAAGAAGTCAACTCTCCATTACCTGGATATTGCTTCTGAGCTGAGATGTGTTAACTGATCACTAAACAGAAGATGGTTTCAAACAAACCACTGCTACAACCTCCTGCCTTGCAGGAAACCAGGAGTGTACACTCATCTATCACATCGCAGCTGAAAAGACAGCAACTACTTAAAGCACTCTTCACGCTCATTGCCTGTGGTCAACTGACTGTATCCTGAGGAAAGCCTGGAAATAACATTGTCATTTGTTTGTACATTTCCATACACAATTTTTCTTAGTTGGAAATGCATCCTCCTTATTATTCCAAATAATTACGTAGATACTTCGAAAACCTGTTTAATTCTGTTTTATGATGCATTTGTAGTGACTAAAATGTAAATAAATCTATTTTCTAACGGCCACATACACAAAACTCAGTGAAATTGCTGTAAATACATATCTTTAAAAAGTCAATCTGAACCTAAACCATGACCTGAGTTTAGACGTAAATGGAAAACCAGCTCAAGACTGGGGAAGATTTATGGCTTTATTATTATTTTACTCTTACATATCCTCCTTACCTGAACCACCCACGGACTGTTGGCAAAGGCCATGATATCTCTTTCTTCCCAGAAAAAGGCTGAATCTGATCTCTTGATCATTTCAAATTTACTAAGTAGCTTCATTGCATAAACCTTCTGTGTCATTTTATGGCGAACCTGTTGGTTGAGAACGAAGAGAAACAACTTTTTAAAATGCCTTGTAAAAAAACTGAATATCAGCATAGTGTATTTCTCCTATGTGCAAACTGCTTTCTGGGATGCAATACCTCCAGGTCTTCACATACCCAATTTTCTACACCGTAAGGATTTGAGAACTTCCAAACCTGGAAAGAAAAACCTAACAACTGCTCCAAGAAAAAAAAAAAAAAAAGCACAGCAGGGGTGGAACAAGAAGGATACCAAATGGAGGAAGAGATGCCAGAGCCCGGACAACTGCTTCAGCTCCCGCTGCAGCCCCTGAAGAGGGGCCGCAGGGCATGAGGCGGACGTGCCCCGCGGCTGCGGGAGCTCTGAGGAGGTAGCTGTTTTATTGGAGACGCACCGACACAAGCATATGTTTGTCCTCACTATGGCTGTGAGCACAAAAATGAGAACTGGCTCCAGTAGTCTGCTTACTTAAATTAAAACTGCTAAAAATATAAAATTTTAAAAAACCCCAAACAAACCCCAAAAAAACCCAAAAAACAAACCAAACCAAAAAAACCCAAAACCCAAACCAAACCAAAAACCCCAACCCAAAACTCAGAACGAGAAAAGTATCAGCTTTCCCTAAAGAACTGGACTACTCTTCTTCAGGTTTTCTGAGTGAACGTGCTACTTCAAATCACCCAGAACACTAAAAAAAAAAAAAAGGATGAAATAATTATTTTTACAGATGGAGGAGGAAAGGCTTGTCTATTCCCCCTTCAAAAGTTCCACCATCTAAGGAGAAATATAAAGCCACTCTGCTTATATCTTCTTATCCTGAACACCATCGATCCGCTGCGTTCATTGGTGTTAGAAATTCTGGAAGCAGTCCACTTCAGCCGCTTCCAATTCTCATTTAAAAAAAAAAAAAATCTTAAGCTGTTCTTAAATTCACTGTAAATGGTATAAAATTAATAACATAAATCTTTTGGGGCAACTGAAATGAAAACTTTCATGACCAAATCTGAAAAATTTGTTAGAATGCCATCTGACTGTGGACATGAAACAAAATCCTTAAAATACGGACTGTGAAGTCGTTACTCTGTCAATGAAACAATGTTAGACTTATGCTCCTTTCTCAAGCAACTACTAAAGGACCAGTTTTTTAACATTCTTGAGTGTTCCTTGCAGAAATCAAGGTGAGAAGTATTCAACTGTAAGCTGTCCGAGTCAGTAGAAAAAAAGAAATTAACTGCATGTCAAGTTTCTGCACATTGACACTAAAATAAAAAAAATCACTGGACTAATTTGTGAAACCAGAACCAAACGGTTACGGTTTTCTGGGGCATTTAAAAATCTCACATTTAGTCAAATAAACCATATCCCCCAACCTCTTAGTTTTACACAATGTCCGAGTTCAATTCTGCTACTTGAAATCATGTTTAATAGGCTCTGTTCCTGAACAGCTGTAAATGTTTCAGGTCCGTTATGTCAGCAGCACAAAGCTTCACAGAGGCACCTATTTGGTCTACAACCCTGGGAGCATCCGCCTCCTGCTCCTGAGGAGCTGGAAACATTAACGCTGCTGAAGCCATCAGGAATGATCTGTAGAAACAGGAGCAGAATTTGGGGAGGCAGACCTTGGAAAGATCGAGAACAGGAACAGACACAGGCTTATTTATGGCCTCACTGTTGTTGAAATTGGGGCTTTTTGCTCTCAAACTATAGGTACAAAAGCTTTAAGATCAGTATCTGCATAGTCTAACATTAACCAACAACCTTCTGCACAGCTAGCTCAAAAAACCTCAAACACCAAACCAGAAACACGTTATCTACATGCATTAACAACTCTATGAGCACGTATATTTGAAGACATTAACAATTAAACAGCTAGTGAAGGTGTCCTAAAAAAGGATTTTGAAAACTACCTCCTTCCCATTTACTAATCCTGCATGGGATTATTTACAAAGACTTGGTGTACACCACAAACCATACTCCATGAAGTAGAGCTTTTGTAATCCTGCTCAAAAACAGAAGAAACACAAAGACCAGAAACCTCTGAAAGATATTGTTTAATTGAAGATGCATTTTCTGTGAAGTTCACTTAAAGCTCTGCAACGTATTCAGTAGTTTACAGTTCCTAAAATCACCATGTACTCTTGCCTGGGTGTAGTTAGTACAGCTGCCTTCATTTACAAGAATAATTGACCCCCACTACTTGGGGAAAAAATCCCTGGAAAATCAGCACAGCCTGAAGTAAGCTCATGCAAAGCAAACAGGGTTAGGGGGACCAGAAACCACAGTCTGTGCACCTCTCTCAGGTAGTGCCGACAGGTTATTCATTGGCTAAATTATTTCCTGAGAAAATTTCAAGACAGGTTCACCCTCTGTACAAAAATCAAGGAACCAAAGTAACAACTAGTGTACCGGCACACCCAAGGGCTGAGTGTGTCTTGGCATGCTTTAGGGGTGAAACGGACCTACCGGTGAGATTACTTCTTGTATCACCACCATGGCCCTGGAGACAGCCTGCTTAGCTGCTAGCTGCTGTGCTCTTCACCCACAGCTATATTTGGACATACATATATTGGCTCGTATAGCAGATTATTCACGTGTTAAACTGTCATGATGTTTCAATTTCTTCCAGCTGTTTAAATGAACTGCCAAATTTAAACTGCACCTCACCAGAGTAATTCTCAAAATAGGTAGGAAAACCCCTTCGTGCCATCAGCACTGGGTAACATGGCCTTGTTTAACTTAGGAAAATGCATTAAGAAATAAGAATTTCCCTCTAGTCTGCTTCACCTATCTAAGACTTTCAAGAAACAGCTACACACACAAAAATGCATCCATAATTTCTACGTCATGTGCATCAGAATACAATCTGTAGGCAAAGAAAACAACATATCCATTTGAAACTATCAGACTGAGTACGTAGTATTGATTATGGTACCACCTCTTCTATGATAAAAGAAAATGATTACCTAGAGTGGAGTTGTGAAATGAACTCTAAGGTTTGAAATAATCACAACTATCCTAAAATACTTAATAGAACCACAAGAAATCACTACTGATAGGGTTCATGTTCTGGCAAATTTTCAGGTAATAGACCATGACTGCTTTATTTGCATTACTACAGAAGTGTACATCAGCAGTGGCTGGGGAACTAAGCCTGATAAACAAACACTTGATGGAAAAAACTAAACCAGCACCTGTTTGCACAGGCCATGACAACCACTGGTTTGCAACACTAAGAAATCACATAGTAGAGACTGCCACCCAGACCATCCTTTGCTACCCAAACACAAGGAAGAGTTAGCCTTGCTTTAGTTTTCTATTCCAGTACATGACCAAGTCAGTCTGCTGTGTAACTGCAACATTACAGTACTTTGTGATTAGACCTGAGAGAAGGAACTGAGGATGTGTTTCAATTTCAAACCAAGAGGATTTTTGCTGAAGTGAAAACAAACAAGCGGTACTCAGGATGTGCTTTCATAAATTACTGTTTCTGCATAAACCACAAGCAACATATTAAGCACCATAATTCAATTTTTCTGTCTGCCTTAGACACCAGTCTCTTTTGTTCATGGCACTGCATAAGAGAAGCAGCAATGTGGCAGCTGGCAATTATTTTCTTAGCTTTCTCCATCACTACACATCCAGCAAAGCCAGAGGCCAGAGCTCAAGAGTAGAGTTTAATATTTCTGGAGTTCTAAGGAAATTGTTTTTCCACCAAAGTCAGATGCTCAGACTAGAGTCATCTGATCTCTCTCTATTGGACTGAATTTTTTAATTTCTTTGGGGGGAAAAGTGAAGCTTTTTAAAAAAATCTAGCTGTAAGACACAACAGCAGAGAATGTGATTTCCTTTCTTGTTACAACCTGGAAAGCTGATCTCTCCACACCGCCTCTTTCACAAGGAAAAGCTATACTGGAGCAGAAAGCTCGGGGGAAACAAAACTAAATGACTGAGGTCATAGCTGACTATTTTATGCTGTATATTAACATACTAATTTTTTGGCTTGGTATATTTAGCTACTACAAATATTTCACAAATATTTGTGCTACAAATATTTATGCACAACAGCACACGCTGATAACATGACATCCATGAATTTAACCCATGTACTTAATCATGTTTTGTTTATGGTTCTTTCTGAATTTAGCCCCTACTGAAGCAAATTTCTATTTTGATCACAGATTGTGTTGCAAAATATTTTGATTACTGCAAACCCATCATCTGCAACCCTGGTGCTAACATCTTGAATGGAGCAGAAATAGATAGAGCTTAGCTCAATAGTTTAAACTTGTATCGTACCTTGTGAGGCAAAAAAATCTAGGTATGTATGCCCTCATCATCAGCTAATATTAGTTCAGATCTACAGTTGTATTTATTAACCCACTGCTTTTTGGCTGTAAGACTGCATAACATTATGATTCCTACTTACAGTTTTACATTTCAGAAAAAGCGTTCTTTTAAACTGGCAAGAAGTACAAAAGAGATCTATATGAACACACAAAATTCCCCTCCAGTACCACAGTACCAAGCATTCTTAGCTTTTTTTTATTTTGCGGCTTGAAGGGCTGATTTAAAGAATAAAAAACCCTCATAACAACAACAAAAACCAAACCCCATCATTATATGACCAAGTTGCTACGTATTTTACCATGACATTATAATGATGAGGCAAATGAGAAGTAAAGTTTGTCTTCAGATCCCTCAAACTACCTAATTGCAGTAAGTACACTGTGAAAAATCATCTGTACTTTAGAATTAAAATTGTGCATGACACAGTGAGTTAAGGAAAAAAGTTTCCATTCTAAGTCAGAACAAATTAAAAATTTGTATTTGAAATTAAATGTTAAAATGAAAATTATTCAGAAAAATCCTTGTTTCAGGCATTATTATACAGTGATATTTGTGGCCAAAAAAAAAAAACAGAATTGCCATGACTTGCCTCTTCCATTTTGATCAAAGGATAGCAAACTGTTTCGCAAGTCCTTCCCTTCCAATCCATCATGTTTTGAACTCTGATATACTGCTTAGCATGCACAGAAATGACCTCACGATACAATGAAAATAACACTTATTCTTTATAAGAATGCATTTTTAGATACAAAGCATGCAAGACTGAGGAATAGTTTGGCTAGAGCCATAAATCCATCTCGTCATTAAATCGTTATATTCTTACCAGCTGCACTTCTCCAAAAGCCCCTCTTCCAATCACCTTAACAATGTCATAGTCTTCAGCTTTCATTTGTAAAGCTCGGATTTTTTCCACAATCTTCTCATCTAAAAGAAATTAAAGGTGTGATAATGCATGTATTAACAGAATACATTATAGTCAAAATAAGCTATTTTTATTAAATGTTTAGAACCGCCTTGGTAATTCTTGAAATCTGCTGTCACTCTTAATATCCTCTCTCATTATTGTTTGGAAACCATTAACCATCTACCTTTAGCTGTAACAACTGAAATGTCTTTTGGATTTTGCTGACTCTCACTTCACGCCTCTAAGAATCATTCACAAGCTTACAGGAAGACTCTGGTAATGAAAAGAACCAGAGGTGCCCACCTTGACTTTTCAGACAATTACTCGTTGCCACCCGCTGCGCTGCCAGGATCCCCTGGCGCTCCACTGATGACCCAGGAGGATGAAGTACCTGGTACACACAAAGCACTGCAGGTGCAGCCCGCTCCCATGCACCCGGCGTGTTCCACAGCAGTCAAACAGCAAGGAGTAACCTTCGTGGAGAACTTCAGATCATTCAAGGATATAACTGCAGATCCACTCATTCATTCCATATGAAATATTAATTCAAGTTTATGAATGTCTGTGCAACTGCTGGCTATCTCAGAGTGCTTTTTAGTATTCACTGCATGTGTAGTTCTACACTTTTTTTTAAAAATTAGGTCTACAATGCTCAGTTCAGGTATTCTCTGGCACAATATTCTGCAGCTAAGCTCTGTCTTTCAGTATTTTTCCTGGTGGCAGTTGTGAGAATCCGTAACAGTGAAATTCTGACCTCTGACAAACTGTAAAAACACGCAAGGTCCTGGACTCTGTAATTTTGTACATGTAGCATGCTAGTGAATGCATTCCTGGCTAAATACATTTTAAAAATCTATTCTTATTACAAGGCCAAAAGATAATGGAAACAATGAATGGAATCCATAATACTAGAGGTAATCTTTTTTAAGCGTGAAAGCTTTGACACTGCCCCCGCAGATGTTTAGAGGAAGAAAAAAGCAAAGCAAACAGGTTGGCTGGAGCAAGACCTCTACCAGGGAAGAGCATGAAATTGTATGAAAAGCTGTGGATGCTTATATTAAGGGAGGAGCAGAGGTGTGTATTGCAAGAACCCTGTTTAGGGTCAAAGACTGTGGAATTTGATCCCAAGAAAGGCATTAAAGGGATCTCGCTTCTGAATACAGAAAAAAGATCAGGGATACAGTTAATTCAGTATGACATTAAAGATGACATTCTCAGCTGGGAGTTAAAGATAACAAGCATCTAGTAAATAGTTTAACCATTCCTACACATTCATGAAGAACAACCTGGCAGGCTACAAGCAATCCAGGAGATGCCTGACCTCAGGAATATTTCTTTTGACCCAAGTGAGCAACAAGCCCCATCAGGGAGGCACTCCGACCTGTTACTCACAAGCAAGAACCAGCCAGGGGTGACAAAGTCTGTGGCAGCCTTGGCTGCAGCAACCATGAGATGGTGGAATTTAAGACCCTGAGACTGCTGAGGAAAGAAAATAGCAGATCTTGGACTTCAGGAGAACAGGCTACAGCTTGTTCAAGGAACTCACAGGCAGGATCTGGTGGGAAGCTGCTGTGGAGGGTATAAGAGTGGGTTGATCTTCAAAGACGACATGTTCTTAGCACGAGTACAGTCTGTTCTAGTTAGCCAGAAATTGAGCAGGCACGGCAGAGAGCCAGTTTGGCTCAACGGACAACCTCTGCCTCAACTCAAGCAAAAAAAGCGAAAGTTTGGAACATGGAAGGCCAAGCTCAACTGGAGTTGAAACTAGCCAGGGCTATGAAGGGAAACAAGAACCTTTATAAATACACTGGCAATAAAAGAAAGAATGCGGCAAATGTGGGCCCGCTGCTCTCAGTGGGGTGGGGAATCTAGTGCCAAAGGACATGGAGAAGATCAAGATACTTGATGCCTTTTTGCCTCAGACTTCACTGGCAAGCTCTGCTCATAGGCCTTCCAGCTCCCTGAAGCTAACAGCAGAGCGTGGGACAGTAAAGCATCGCAGTAGAGGAAGTCAGAGTTAAGGACGAATAAAGCAAACTTGACATACACCGGGCCATGAGACGACAGAGGATGCATCTGAGTGTGCCAAAGGAGCCAATCAACACTGTCACCAGGCTGTTCTCTACCACCTTTGCAAGGTCTTCGCAACTTTGGGAGGCTCCTGATGACTGGTAAGGGGCAAATATCATGTCTGTGTTCTAGAACGGCAACAAGGAGGATCCACAAAGCTACAGGCTGGAACAGCATCCTAACCTCACTGCCCACGATGATCACGGAGCAAACCCATCCGGAATCCAATTCCAGGCACTTGATGGACAAGAAAGGATGGGAACAGCCAGAATGGATCCAAAAAGGACAAACCATGTTTGACTAACCTGATTGCTTTCCGTAATGAGATGTCTGTCTCAGTGGACACAGGGAGAGCAGTACACATTTCCTTTCCTTAGCTGTAGCATAACTTTCAACATAGCATCTCAAAGTATCTTTGTAGCCAAACCAGGCTGACACGGATTGCACAGAGAAATTACAAGGTGGGTGGAAAACTTGCTGGAGTCATGGTCAGCGTTCAAAGCTCAAAGTTGATATACCAAAGGGCAGGGCTGCTCCTAAGAGGGACCCAGACAGGATGGGTGGATGAGCTGACAGGAACCTCACAAAGTTCAACTTAGGCAAATGCAGAGTCCTGTAGCTGGGATGGAATGACACCACACAGCAGTACAGGATGGCACTCAACAGCTTGAACGCACCTTGAGAAAGAGGACCTGAGAGCGCTGGTGGACTACAAGACGAACCCAGAAGAACAAGCAGCAAGCCTTTGCACTGACTGCGCACAAGGCTGCGGTGGTAAATGCACAGCCAGTAGGGTGAGGGAAGTGGTTCTTCCCTTGCTTGCCAGTTGTGAGACCACATTTGGAATGCTATGTCTAGCTTTGGGCTCCTCAGTGCAAGAAAAGTATCAAAGCAATCCCTAGCTTAAGGGAAGGTGACCGAGATGCTCATTGGGTGGAACCACAGGGTGCTCACAGAGAAGCCGAGAGAACTGGAATTGTTCAGCTTAGGGAAGTCTAAATGGTTGGCCTCAACAGAAGCTGAAAGGAAGTTTTACTTCTAAGAGGTGCAAAGTGAAAGGGTAAGAGGCAACAGACAAGTTGGCACATGGGAAACCCTACTTTGTAGGAAAAGAATCCCTAGAACTGCGGAATGGAGCAGACTGTCTGGCGAAGCTGCAACACCTGTGTCCTTGGAAATTTAAATTCAAATGCACAAGGACCGGAACAACCTGATCAAACATCAAAACTGGTTTGGCTTTGAGAAAAGAGTTGGACCAGCTGACCTCCAGAGGTCCTTCCTAACCTGAACACAAAAATGCAACTAAAAATTTCTTCTTCTGAGGAAAAGATTATGTGTGAAGGGGAAGGAGAGAGATTTAAAGGGAAAAAAAAAAGTGAATAATGAGGCAAAAGAGCCTGCTAGTAAAGTTGTATGGACAGAGGCAACTAAAACCTCAAAAGTAGACAGATCTGGTACATTCAGTACCAATAAGACTGTGAAGTAATCCAAAGTCTGAACAGGAAAAGGAGTTGAGAGAGTTCTGAGGCTGTTTTCTATAGTGAATCATGAAAGCTTAGCCAGGCAGCACAGGACAGCAACAGGGCTTCACCCACACCAAGTTTATTATTTCATTCATGATGCGAACTAATCTTGCAGTTTGAGAAGGGAAGACTGTGTTTGGATGCTTATTTAATTGCAGATCAGAAGCTTTGGCACAAGACAAGGAGGACAAATGCAAAGTCACAGAAAGCAGCAGCACAGAAGGAATATCAGCAAATTTCAAGTCAGAGAGAATGTGCAACTACATGTTTGAACACATTCTTACATCTCGCAAGGGAGGGAAATCACATGAATTTATTTTCAAATGTTTCTGAGATGTTTCAAATGTTTTCACATGTGTGAGATGAGATGGCAGGGATTTAAACATGTTGAAAGAGTAGGGTGTAGTTTTACATGGCTCCATTACTGGTCAGAAACTCACAGAAATCCTTCTGTGTTCAAAATATAATACAGAAATTATAAACAGTGTTAATACAGCTCCAGTGAAACTGTTTAAGCATTAAACACTGCAGTTAAGCAATGGAAAAGTGAACAATATACGAAGTAAGCAAATGAGATACCAGCTGAGGCGTTACCCATTTTATCATCCCTGTGAAATGCTGAGGATGGAGAAACCCGACTTGCTCTAGTGAAAAATGAACAGAATAGAACAGAACAGTGTATTCTATTCCAGTTGGAAGGGACCTACAATAATCACCTAGCCCAACTGCCTGACCGCTTCAGGGCTGACCAAAAGTTAAAGCATGTTATTAAGGGCATTGTCCTAACACCTCTTAAGCACTGACAGGCTTGGGACATCGACCACCTCTCTAGGAAGCCTGTTCCAGTGTTTGACCACTCTCTCTGTAAAGAAGCGCTGCCTAATGTCCAGTCCAAGCCTCCCCTGGCACAGCTTTGAACCATTCCCACGTGTCCTGTCACTGGATCCCAGGGGGAAGAGATCAGCACCTCCCTCCCCATGTCCCCTCCTCAGGAAGCTGTGGAGAGCAATGAGGTCTCCTCTCCTAACTCCTTTAAATAAGATTTAATAATCTCAGTTAAAAATAATAATCATCACCATCTAGGGATGCAGGTTTTGTGGAGGTATCATTTATACAGATATATTGTCTATTTTTTCATAAAATTTAACAGATATGGAACAAATAATCCAAGCATGGAACTAATCTGAAACAAAAAACAGGCTGCAAGAAGGCAAGTTCAGAGCAACCCTGAAGCAATGTCATAATTGCAACATCCTGGATCATAGGATTTAGTTCATGTATCACATAACATGATCTAATTCAAGGCGCAGGAGACCTTTCCAACACTGTCCTTTTAGTAGAGGACTTAATTTTCAGAAGGTTTCACGTAGATGAGTTTGTACATTTGTGGTACCTGTATGCATGGATACCACAGATTGTCTCTTACA